TATATTTGACTTGGTTACTCTCCGGGGAGAATCCTGCGTCAGTATGGCCTGTGATTGAGGTAGATTATGGTTTCTACATCTAAGATTGGGTGAAAAAGATTGGATTAGGTTAGATGGAGCACATAGAGGTTTTTACTAAGATACGTTATTTTAAAGTGCTGTGGAATAAGCTGGCGCTATATAAATAATAACCAATAATAATACATAGACTATTTAAAATTTGCATACCCCATGTAGACTTGCTTCACCCCAGCAATCCAGAGAATCCTTTACTAGGATGGGTGTCTGTGGACCCTTAGGTACTACCTTCTCGTTCTAGAAGGTTGGATGACCGTAAAAGCCTGCAGTTACACCTGCAGAAAAATTACTTAAAGGAACACTATAGTGTCAGGAATACAAACATGTATTCCTGACACTATAGTGCTGGAATATCTAATTAGGTCCCACTCTCTGTGAAGATTAAAGGTAGTTTACATACCTTTTATCTCTCTAAATGCTTGTCTTGCCACAGCTGGCTCAACCTCCATGACTAAGATCATCAATCTATGGGGAATGTTCAGCGTGGGGACGCTGAACACCAGTGCTGCACACTGTGCAGCACTGGACTGTAAGCACCTCTAGTGGCGATCTGAGTGACTGTCACTATAGTTGTTACTTGGCGGCAATGTAAACCCTACTGTTTCTCAGCAAATGCAACGTTTACATTGAAAAGCCTGCAGGGACATGCTAAAAAACCCAGAACAACTACATTAAGATTAAGACTATAGTGTCCCTTTAAGAAAGAGGAAAAGTTCAGAAAGCCCCTTTGTCTATTCTAACTAGGCTTAACAACAAGCTGACTAGTCTGGGTAATTCTTTAAAGTTAGAAATGAGTAATCTAGGATTTTATATTTCAACTACCAATTGCTATATGATTCTGTGATTACCACTAGCTAGCAGGGACCTATGAGGATTGTTGTGGGAATTAAAGAGGAAAAGTGGCATGTTGCTTGGAGACCCTGTAGGTGAAAGATATTAAGATAAATTCAGTGTGAAATGCTACAGATCTTTTAGAATACCCCCAAAAATAATAGGATGCAGTAGGAATAATTTAGTGTTGTCGCTGCCCCCCCCCCAATCCATAATAAAGTACAAACATACATTGGAACTTTGTAAATCAAGGGTCATTTAATTATCTTCTTTCATCCTGCATTGCATTGCACTACATATCATTTCCTGCCAAGTACTGGGGAAGAAATATGGCATTGTAGTTGAACAACTGTTCAAGAGCCAAGGTTGGACTTGGAACCACATCTGAATGAGCTATCCCTAAGAATCATAATAGTCTGTCAATAGGATTTTAATAGCCAAGGCATTATCATAACTCTAGCCCTCCCAGATATTGTAAAATAGGTAGAACTTTAATTTAGGCACCATTATAAAACCAGAAACTATTTAATGCTAATGAAAAACTATCATATGAAAGAAAGGCACAGCAGATGTTTGCAAACTACATTTACCATGATGCTCAACTGGCTTTTTAATGGTAGCCATCACTGCACTATAATCTGTAATATCAGTGCAGGTATCGCTGTCTGCTGTTATAACCTCAGTTAAGCCTGTGTCTTCCATGTAATCAAAGTATTAAGCGCGACATGAAGGCCCACGATACAGTTAACTGTAATTGTGGACTTTTTGTACTTAACTGTATAGTTTGAGCTCAGTCAAATTCTGAATTGGAAAGCAGATCTTTCTTTCTTTTTTTTTTTGTCAGCAACCTCTTCTGTCTGTCTCCCTTCGCAGCCCCTCCACCCTTGACAATCAAAGGGCCAAAAAATCTTTAAACACTTACCTGATTTCAGCGCTGAGGTCCTTCAGCACTGGCTCCGTCTCCACCTCTTCCACCTCTTAGGTTGGCACGATTGGGAACCTAATGCCCGTGCCGCCCATGCATTAGGCCTTCCCGATAGGAAAGCATTGAATCAATAGTTTCCTATGAGAATTTGCAAGATGCTGGATGACTTCATGCAGAATGTGATTATGTCCAGCAGCGTTTCACGGAGTTAGACAGCCACTAGAGGCAGTGTTAACCCTGCAATTTAAAGATTGCAGTTTCTTTGAAACTCCAATGTTTTCAGCTGCAGTGTAAAGAGGACAGGGTCACTGCACCTACACCTCTTTGACATGAAGTGGTCTTGGTGCTTATAGTGTCCTTTTAACTATTGATTTTACATTAATGGGCAAAGATTCATATATAAAAGCTATTTCTAATGCAGTCGGGAAGTCACTTGGAATTTGGTGTGACTTTAAAAGATGAAGAGACACCAAAGCTTACATAGTGGTTTTGGTACGTTGATGCTGTCCATTTACTCTGACATTGTAAAATCTTGCCATTTCTAAGAAATGTCAGTATTGGTTTGAAAACAGCCTCTAGATGTACTATCTCCTGAACACCTTCAACCTTCCAAGAAACTCACATTTGGATACATTTGAATGTAGCTAATGCTTAATTTTAACTTAAAAAAGGCAAGGGGACCCATAAATCTAACAAGAATAAGGAACAAATCTCCACATCTCATCATAGACGTGTCCCTCACCATGTCACAAGAAGCTTATAGGCTGTGAAGGATTGAGTCTATAGTGATAGAATTGTAGATAGAACTGCATTCAGGATAATGGCATGACCCATATTTAGGGGAGTTACATAAATGTATAGCAAACGTACAGTACACCCAAACAATGAGCCGAAATTCCAAATCATGCTATATTCATAGAATTCAGCTAATTGACATGATAAACAGATTGATAGGCTCCTGATGGCGACTTTCTCTGAACACTGACCCCCTAGCTTTGTTCTTATGAAGTTCAAAACCGTAGTATGAGGTCCTATTCGTTATGTGACAAGAACATGCATTTTGAATTAAATTCAACCCTTAATTACAGAGGGCTGCTTCCCTGTAGCAAATTTGATATCAATAATGATACATTTCCTTCTGTATACCCAGTGCTGCATGTGCCTCATTAACCAACCCTGCCTGGCTTTAAGTTGGCGCAGCGTGTATATTGCCCTGGGGGACTACTGAGCCCTGCCGTGTGCGCCAACTATCGGAATGCTTTTAAATGTTTCCATTTTCTACTATTGAATGTATTGTCAAATTGCCAGAGTCATTGTTTTTGTTGTTTCCTGCCCAATATTCTCTAGACGGTAACTCTGGCAGAGGAAAGAATTAACTCTTTTATTAACCTCAAGGTTTAAACATGAGGTTAATGAAATAGTAAAGATAGAACATTTGTAAAATGCTGCATAATACGCGCTTTTTAATTTAGTTACTACAACGTGTCACTGATGTAATGGCTAATATGGTATCATGCGTTTTTATTCAGAAAGTGGCAAAAATTACAGTGGGAATATAATTTTATCGAAGCCTGATTTAAGGATTCAAGACTAGACTTCATGAGATACAGAATGGCGCATTTTTTTAGCACCATTTTTAGTGGGTAGCACAACACAAACACGCACAGCCGCATTATCCAAACCCACGTATACACGCATTGCCTACTCTCTTACATACTTCTCTCCATAATGTCTTTTTATTGTGGATGTTGGGAGCATGTGGGGCTATACTATACGTGTCTTCAGTCTTAAATCCACCTCCGATTACATAATTTACAGGAAAGCTCATGCTGTGAATTTGTCATCTTTTAACATAAACACTGATAATAGATTAGAACTGGAATCATGGTTTTATTGCAATGACCATTTAACTAACAATTTTAGGAAATCACATTAATGTATATTTAAAAAAAAAAAAAAAAGAACAGAAAATAAGAACCACCGTGGCCTTTTGCTTAATTTGGCTTCACAGGGAATAGATGTGTATATTTATCAGTCTTTCTTTGTCAATGTTTATTTAGAATTAGTTATATAGGTAGGCGTGCATGTGTTCTATATTTGTCAGGACTATTTTGTATTTACTGTGCAGTAAATTCATTATAACAACTTTTTAAAGGGAACACCGCTAGCAACCCTTTAACCCTTTGGGTGCCAGAGAGGTGGGCAGCTTATTTAATTGCTGAACCCCCTCTAACGCTCACAGGTTTAAGAGAGTGTAGTTGAATTAATGCATGTACTGTTAACTTTTTTCACAGGTTTTGCAAACACAAAAAATTACAAAAAAATATTTCATGGGATCTTCCAAACTTTTACTGAATTTATGTGGGGGGGACTGGGTTAATCAATTGTTTGTTTTATTTTTGAAAGTGTTACTTGTTCTTGTATTTACTTGGACAAATCTATTCGTGGTAACTTCTCTTTTGTATAAAATATGTGCACCTGTACGTTTTGCAGATTCAAAGAGGGGTATTTGAATATGCATTTTTAAAATGACATTTCTGTGTGATCCTTGTCATGTTTATATATCTAAATATACATATAACATACCTCCCAATATACAGGATGGTCAAAGCTGGACTTTTAGGGGTGTAGCATCAGTGGGTCAATATGCATGCACTAAGCTGATACATTATTCCAACCAGTTCCGTGTATGCATGATGACATCTATGTATATACATATATATGTAGACTCAGGACTTTCCCTCGAAATCCAGGTTACTTGGGAGTTATCATATGTATATTCACATATATACACACATAGTTTGTAGTGGTACTGATGTTAAAAGTTGAACAAATGTTTAAAATATATATATATATTTTTTATTGTTAGATTGTTTTTTGTTTGTCAGTAGAAACTTCTGCATTACTTTTATTATCAACCAATTTCCATTCATGTGGGAAAAGCTGAAATCCAAGAAAAAAACAAAAACAAACGCTGGTTTGAGCTTTATCTAAACTGACAAAGATGATTCAATTTTGATATAGTGTATTCAAATGGGGGAACATTGTAGGTCTGCCCTTTAAAATGCATAATGCTGTGTGCAATGCATTGTAATTCATGATATTGGTTGCTTCCTCCCATTGCTGTTAACTCTGCATGACTGCATTTTCTCAGACTGGAGACCTCATCTTCTATATATATTAGTTGGCAGGAAAGGGATTGGTTCCAAAAGGGATAGAAGTAGACCACGCTCAAGGTTGACAGGAAGAGATGCATTAAGGGATGGGGCTTTATCTGCATTGGGAACGGTAATGGGTGACTCTGCCGCTCTTGTACTGCCACATGCTCGTAGTTCTCAGTAATGCATGACTCTAAACCGGTCTGCATGTTGAATGAAAATATTGTTTTTTATAAAACTAAAAGCATGAATTCCCTAATATCCATGGTGATTACATTTGCTATGTTAAGTGACTTTGTCTACATGACCTGCAGTGCCACTTAGCTCTCTTTCTCTCTCTTTACCAACGTTTCAGCAATATCTGCCATATAATGTTAATAATAAACCTTTACGTGAATGAGACCGCCACAGGTCACTGTTCGTGATGAAGGGCCAGCAGTGATTTGATGTAAATCATGTTTTTATGAAAAAAATCAACAGAGACAAATTCAAATATGTTACTGGTTCTAGAACATAAAGCAAGTAATGAGTTACATTTAGAGACATAAACAATACAGCTTATCTGTTTTATAAGCTGTATTCTCATAAAAAAATAAATGTATTCTAATTCTCTGTTATTGGAATTATTGTCAGAATTGAGGAGGATTCGTAACATTTTAGGCCAGAATAGTAAAATTGGAGAAAAAATTACCAGTTTTTTTTTTTTTTTTTCAAGTCCAACTTTTTTTTTAACCAAATTTTCAACAATTTCTGGTTTATTAGAATAAAACAGTGTTGGATACAGTACTACTTATATTATGGACCGTGACAAGAAAAATATTTACAACTCAAAAGTACAGGATAGTCTTCTTAAAATTGAAAATGTGCCCTTATTAGAACGACCAAAAGGCAATCTGGTAATGTTTGGATTTAAAAGTGAGTCTTTTGTCAAGTACACATTTGACCACATTTGACCACATTTGTCAAAATGTCAATATTTATTTCATAGCTGTCATTGGTTGCTTCTTCGTTTTCAGAGGAGTGCAGGATAGCTCATTCAAAATTCTTAGAGGGAACATGTTGTTACCAAGGAGCCTCCGTAGGTCAGTGTTACATTTCAGTGAAAAATTATATTTGTTTCAACCACTCCTTACCCAAACTAGCCTCCTGTCTGTACATTTCTGACCACTGAAGAGGATACCATTACCAGACAAATTTTACCCACTACACCATATAAGGACTCCGAAGCTTTACTTACCGCCCACTGACATGATGTGTTATGGCTCCTGATGTTGGTCTACCAATGAGAAAACAAGGAAAGTGGCACTGCAGCTGTAATTTTAGAAAAAAATTTATTTTATTTTTGCTGTTAATTTTTGTTCAGGGCATTGAATAAAAAAAAAAAAATGTATGACCACTGTGATTTATTTAAAAAATAACAATAAATAAGCTTTGTGATTTTTTTTCACAATACTTTGTGGTCAAAAATATATATTTGTGACGGTAATATTTTCAGTGCCAAATATATGAGCAGTAATGTCTGACAAAATAAAAATAATTACAAAAAAAAGCTCTTGTGTTATAAATTTATGAAATATATTTAATTTTTTAAATTTTTTTCCTGTTTTTGTATGTATTGTAAATGAATTTGTGACATTGAATCATTTCATACAGGAATTATAAATTGCAACTTGCAGAACCATTGTATTTTGGTTATATACCGTAAGTTGGTAAAAAGCATGGAATTGTTTTCTATAAAACTGTAGAATTTAGTCAAGCTGTTCTACATGCTGCCTGTGTATTAGGGATGTGCATGGGCAAAAAGTTCGGTTTGGAAGTTCAGGTAAGTAAAACTAATTGTCTGCTTCGGCAATTCGGACCAATGGCATTAGCCTTGGTTCAGCACTTCAACTGCGTGACACTGCATGGGACAAACATCCAATGCTAGGCAGTGAGGGAGCAAAGTACTTACTGTGCTCTTGCAGCACAGCTCCCTTGCACGTCCTTCAGGGTCCGCTGGCAGCCGCAATGTGACGAGTACAGGATATGATGTAATTGCACAAAATGAATTGGCTTATTGTTCAAGATTCAGGTCATCATTCACATAATTTTCCCTCCCTCTCTCTTGTTTTGCCACTTTTCAGAAATCCAAATCACTAATGCACTTCCAAACTACCAAACTTCGTCGCTTCGGGACTTTGCCACTTCAGACATTCGTAAGCATCCGAATGGCATGAAATTTGTACGAATGTACATTCGGAAGAAACGTATCGCACATGTCTACTGTGTATTAACATTTGTCAGAACTATAACATTACCTAGTGGCCTGTTAACAGCAGTCTTAATATCACGCACAGAGTGGTATCCTTAAAGGAACACTATAGGGTCAGGAACACAAACATGTATTCCTGACCCTATAGTGTTAAAACCACTGTCTAGTGTCTTCCTCTCCTCCCTCCACCCACTTGTACCTCCATTGCTTGTTTAAATATAATAAAATCATACTTATTCTGCAGCTCCTGCCTCTGTCCCTGATCTGCCTGCTTGACACAAGTGATTCTGTGAGCCAATCACAATGCTTTCCCATAGGATTGTCTGAGACTGTCAAGGATGCAGATCAGGGGCAGAGCCAGCACAAGTCAAACACAGCCGTGGCCAATCAGCATCTCCTTGTAGAGATGCATTAAATCAATGCATCTTTATGAGGAAAGTTCAGTGTCTCCATGCAGAGGGTGGATACACTGAATGGCAGTTACACTGTACAGCACTGCCCCAGAAAGCACCTCTAGTTAACCTATGAGGAGAGGCCAGTGGAGGTATCCCTAGGCTGTAATGTAAACACTGCATTTTCTCTAAAAGGACCTTGTCTACTGCAAAAAGCCTGAAGTGAATGATTCTACTCACAGAACAAATACAATAAGCTGTATCCCTTTAAATAATCTATTTACTTACATTTTAAATAATTTTTAAATATTCTTTAAAATTCTTCTAAATTTAAAAGCAAAAATCCTCAACGGTTTTATTTTTTTTCTGTTACTATAAACATAAGTTTTGTTTGTGAATTAAAAAAAAGTCATGGAGAATGGCTTTTAAATGTGGCATATTTTTCCCCCCCAATGTTTGTAACCATCATAGGTCTTTGTCATGGACAAAATGCTGTATTCAGAGGTAAGAAAGATCCCGGTGATCTAGAATTAAGTGTAACCTTTTATGGGCCAATAACATTTTATGCCATCATTACAATGAATGAGGTTTATCCCGTGACATATGGTCCTTATAGACCGATTGCAAGTAATGTGCAGAATCATCACTGTAGTGACCTTACAATGCCAAGCAGGTAAGCTCAACGCTAACACCCTGTCATCAAAGATGAATGGATTTGGATGAATAAAGACACTTTGACCATAACTATTATGGTAGGCAAATTAATACTGTTATAAACTCAAAGTAAAAATAAAATAAAAAATTACAAGTCTTTAAGTTAGTCGAACACCATAACCACCCTAGATTGCTGAGTACCAAGGAAACCCCCCCCCCCTTTAAGTAGTAAAATCATTTTGTAATGGTTTGACTTCCTACCTGTTGTTCACCATCACTACTCCCCACCTCGACTATAACCAATAGAAGCGTTAAGTTCCTGCACCGCCAACAGTTTTAACTCTGGCTAAGCTTATGGCTCTCTGTCAGCTGTAATAAAGGTAGGGAGCCGTTGTCCATGGAACTCCGGTAAAAAGTAAGAAGCGCAAACTTACTTCTTTAGGAAAACTTATCAATTAAACTGTGAATAGCTTTCTCTCCCCGCACCCTGATTCCTCTCCTGAAACTGTAATTAAAACGAAACACTAAGCCCTCCATGAATACTATCCTAGCAACCTACTTTCCTCCCCTACCCTTACCTTTTGTGTCACTATACCGCACTCTCTCTACCATGTAAGCTCATTGAGCAGGGCCCTCAACCCCTCTGTTCCTGTGTGTCCAACTCGTCTGGTTACAAATCAGTATCTGTTAGTCCACCCATTGTACAGCGTTACGTAGCTTGTTGGCATTTTATAAATAATAATAATAAGTAGAAATGTTCTAAAACAGTTTTACTATACATACAATAGGGGAAAGGAGGGTGCCAGGGCACTCATGAAACCATAACCAATACATCACTCTGTAGTGGTTATGGTGCTTAGGGTGTTCCTTTAAGTGTTTAATTTTGGTAATATTGTGGTGATGAGTGAGGGAATAATCTAAATTATATTAAAGACAGGAAGCTTCATATTTGCTTAACCTTCTTTACTGAAAACCTCTAGCAGCAAAGAACCAGTTAACGTAACTTTTCAGAGCAACCAATCAGAACAAAATATTAGCAGTATAAAACCACTTAGGCAGACCCACCCACTTCCTCTTTCTTTGATGAGGTCGAGTAGGAGAGCATGAAGACCAAACGAATTCAACTGTAACAGGCACACTCAGAGAAACAGCCATAACCTGAATAAATCCAGATTACACTGCAAGGGAAAAGAAACATTGTGAAAGTAAACTGCCAAAGCAGAATGTCACGCCATATACAGTAGTACATCAGCGAACTACGACATGAGAAATAAAGCACACAGACAACCAAAACCGTAGTATAAAATAATTTATTAATCAAGCATGATACCATTCATCAAAAAGTGAAAAGGAAAAAAGAGATGGTAATATAATCTTACTCCTGAGCGGGGCTTAACCCCTAGTGCAACGAAATGCACTACAAAACTGAAAAAGGAAGGGAGACAGGAGAGAAGGCAGGATAGATGGTAAAGTGTCCTGCAGAGTGGAAAATCCCTCGTTTAACCCCTTAAAACCGGAGGGCGTACTATTACGCCCTATTTTAAGCGGCTCTAAACGCTGCAGGGCGTAATCGTACGCCCTCTGTTTTTTTTTACTTACCCGGTTGTCAGCGATCGCGGTGGATCCTGCCTCCTGCGGCCCCCCCTGCCATGTAAGAGTGAGGTCCTTGCGAGGACCTCACAATCACATGGCCGGGTTAGCTGGCTGCTGCATTGCCAGCAGGGGGACTGCATGTAATGACAGTTAGTCCCCCTGCTGGCTGGAAATAAAATTAAATTAAAATCAGTGTAAAAGAAATAAATAATATACTTAGATCATATATATATTATAAATATATATGATCTAAGTATATATATATTATATATATACACATATACACACACATACACTGTCAAGGTGTATTTTACTATTAATATATATACAGTTGCAAGAAAAAGTATGTGAACCCTTTGGAATGATATGGATTTCTGCACAAATTGGTCAAAAAATGTGATCTGATCATCATCTAAGTCACAACAATAGACAATCACAGTCTGCTTAAACTAATAACACACAAAGAATGAAATGTTGCCATGTTTTTATTGAACACACCATGTAAACATTCCACAGTGCAGGTGGAAAAAGTATGTGAACTCTTGGATTTAATAATTGGTTGAACCTGCTTTGGCAGCAATAACCTCAACCAAACGTTTCCTGTAGTTGCAGATCAGACGTGCACAACGGTCAGGAGTAATTCTTGACCATTCCTCTTTACAGAACTGTTTCAGTTCAGCAATATTCTTGGGATGTCTGGTGTGAATCGCTTTCTTGAGGTCATGCCACAGCATCTCAATCGGGTTGAGGTCAGGACTCTGACTGGGCCACTTCAGAAGAAGTATTTTCTTCTGTTTAAGCCATTCTGTTGTTGATTTACTTCTATGCTTTGGGTCATTGTCCTGTTGCAACACCCATCTTCTGTTGAGCTTCAGCTGGTAGACAGATGGCCTTAAGTTCTCCTGCAAAATGTCTTAATAAACTTGGGAATTCATTTTTCGATCCCACCACCACCATACTTCACAATTGGGATGAGGTTTTGTTGTTGGTGTGCTGTGCCTTTTTTCACCACACATTGTGTTGTGTGTTTCTTCCAAACAACTCAACTTTGGTTTCATCTGTCCACAGAATATTTTGCCAGTACTGCTTTGGAACATCCAGGTGCTCTTGTGCAAACTGTAAACATGCAGCAATGTTTTGTTTGGACAGCAGAGGCTTCCTCTGTGGTATCCTCCCATGAAATCCATTCTTGTTTAGTGTTTTACGTATTGTAGATTCGCTAACAGAGATGTTAGCATTTTCCAGTGACTTTTGTAAGTCTTTAGCTGACAATCTAGGATTCTTCTTCACCTCATTGAGCAGTCTGCGCTGTGCTCTTGCAGTCATCTTTTCAGGACAGCCACTCCTAGGGAGAGTAGCAGCAGTGCTGAACTTTCTCCATTTATAGACAATTTGTCTTACCGTGTACTGATGAACAGCAAGGCTTTTGGAGATACTTTTATAACCCTTTCCAGCTTTATGCAAGTCAACAATTCTTAATCGTAGGTCTTCTGAGAGCTCTTTTGTGCGAGGCATCATTCACATCATGCAATGCTTCTTGTGAAAAGCAAACCCAGAACTGGTGTGTGTTTTTTTATAGGGCAGGGCAGCTGTAACCAACACCTCCAATCTCATCTCATTGATTGGACCCCAGT